TGGCTCGAAAAAGTATTTTCCGTGCGAAAATAAATCTGCGCGTCGTTGAATAACGAACATAATAAGTATAGTTGGGATCGAGTCTAGAAAGATTTATATTCAATTTTTGTTTACTTAATAATGGTTATCACCACTAAGACGTGAACTAAAGGGTGGGGAGAACGGTGCTGAGAAAGCTGATACCTCTTCTCTCAAAAAGTACCCTAGCAAAACTTTTAAAAAAATTATAACAAACACCAGTAATACGACATTTAAAATACAAAATTTATTTACAAATTATTTAAGTGCGATTATTAATTAATTTCCACTTATCTTATGATTGTTTTATATTTCCATGTTTCTCAACTGAAAATGTTGTAGTAGGTACCGCATTAATAAATAAAATATGTTTTTTTTTTTTTTAGATTCTTAGTGAAACAAAGAAGCTTGTGGTTTTAAAATGAAGTTTAATTTTTTTTTTACTCTGGATAACTTTTTTACCAGCAATTTTGTTTCGACTTACAATGATAGCACTTTTTTTGCAAAAAAAAATTCGACTAGGTTGGTACTTTAGGGAGGTGATTTTTTGATTATTCGAAAAATTCTCTCAACAAATGAGAAAACATTGTAAAAATAGGGAATAACCGGGTAAATAGATAGATTATTAAACAAATATTATTACAGAAAATATATAATGCATATGAAATATAATTATTCTTCCATAATGTGACGTATATATTTTTGAAAAAGCAACTCTATCAACTAAACTCTGCTCTGAACTACGCTTTTTTGGTTAGCAATAGCTAATCGTTGCTTACAGATATAGGTACATTAATTTCCCATAAGCTATCTTACCTTCCCAAATTCCCACCTACCGCATTAGCAGCATCCGTCTCCATTATCCTAGGAGAGATTTTTTTAAAATAAATATCCCTCGAATAAATTGTTTTCCAAAATGTAACTATAACATAATCACTTATTGTGTGGTATTAATTTCACCTTTTTCGTTTTGACATTTATTTAATATATCTATATCGTAACATTATAAATCAACACCGTGACTGCAATTTGACCCAACGCACAAATTGTGACCACATTAAAAAAAACACTACCTATATAAAATCAAACGTTTATACTTTTTAAATATTCTTTTTCCTCAACTATACAATGATATTGTTATTGGTTCGATGTATGTATGTACCTGTTTTAATGGTCCAGTGAGCACACGGTGTTTTGGTGTAGTGATCACGTGGGGTAGGAATAAAGTAAAAATTTAAAATATTACTTCCGGTAGATCGCATATTCAAGTAGTCAACCGCCAAGTGGCCATGATACACAGGGACCAAATACCTACTATTCGAAATTATGGTATATTATAATGAATCTAATATTTTGGGTCGGAACGGTTGGCAACAGCGAGATATGTCTGGCCCCGTATCATTTTTCTGAGATTCAGAACTCTCCGGAGAACTCACAGATAAAACATTTTAATGTCTTCACGATTTGATAAATTTTTTTATTCGGTCGTTCGGCTGCAAAACTGAAAATATACGATCACTTATAATAATATTATAATGCAGCGATTTGATTTCAAAAGAAATTTAAATATTTTGCTATCGTGATCGTATATATATCTGATCGCGTATTCGAGAGACATACCTACCCAAATCGCTACTGTGTACTGTACAAAAAGTGAACTCACTTAAAAGAAATTCCAACGTAAAAAATAAAATAAATCAAAAGTAAAACGGTTATAATATACAGGAAATTCATGTTAAAAATCTTTTATAACATTTTTTTGTTTTGATTTTTTTAATATTTCGTCATCAAAAATATTACAAGGAAACTAAAATAACGCTTTCAATGCATGGCGATCATTATTGGTATTATCTGCAAGATGAAATCATCTAAAAGATAATATATACAACGGCATATAATCATTAATTACTATATATATATATTAAACTAACAAATCGGAAAAAAAATAGTGAAGTTTTGACCTTAGAAATAGAAAAATGAGGCTGAAAGTTGGAAACCCCAAAATGCATCTTTGATACACCATACGTATACAAAATTTAATTCATGAAATTCATATAACATTTGACTCCACTTTGACCATTTAAATCCACCTATAAAACAACAATAGTTCTGAGTATGAGTTGATTTGGCCCAGAGTGAGCCACAACAAGTGTCAGAAAGTAGCGTGACAAAGATGTATTATACAATTTTACGGCTAATGATAAAAATTTGATAATCTCAACTTTTCGTTGTTAGATTTAATATAAACAAATAATTGGCATATTATCAATTTAAATTTAAGAACATTGTTTATGTTTTTCGATATTTTAATGTTTATGTGAGACACAAATGTTTCTAAATTGTAATGTTTCACATGTTTGTATTTCGTTTTAAAATTAAAATATCAAGAAAACAAATAGCCGATACAGGGGATGACTATGCTATTGTTGTAGGTGGGAAGTCGGGAAGGTAAGATACATAAAGTTTTTAAATGTATATCTATACTCAACGATTAATCATTGCTAATGGAAAATGACTCTGAGTGAAATTCGGTTATGTACGTTTTAAAAGGCCGTAATATTTACGATTTTCGTCAAAATAGTATGTTTGTAACTTTTTCATGTTGACTATTCAAGATAAAATGGATCTCCTGTTAAATTTACTAGCATTTTGTACAGCATAAATTCCAAATGACGCACAAAAAAATGTTGATATTTTTTTTTTTTTTAACTGCATAACGCTCATTTCAATATTATCTAAGTACTATTTTGAGCGATAATATAAGCTTTGAAATGGAATTACTTGCCATATTATTTACTTATAATAATAATATGGTTATGAATTTTCTCTTTCATCATTCATTATGTTATCTAAATAAGTGTAAATTATACTTTATATTAGGTAAATCGATAGTTATTATATACATGTCATTTTTCTTTTCCAATATACCGGTAACGATCTGAAATTTTTGTTCATACATAACTTAATATACCTACTCGAAATTCCGTTATTTACCTTTATAATTATTATCGCAGATAAATACATTATAAAACGTCCTAAATTAATATTATCGTTCTTTTACGAAAATTAACAGGGTCTAAATCAGTGTACCTACACTGTGTACCTCCGTAATACGCGAGTGTAATAATTAAATAATATTATCTCTAAATTAAAATAACGGCTGAAAGCTTATGATATGAATCAGATAAAGTAAAAATTTGATTTTAACATTATTGTTTTTATCTAATGATGTATTAAGCAATAAAAAAAAAAAAACAAGTAAGATTCTTTTTTGTAAACTAATAATATATTAAAAATGATGAGGTTAATGAAAATAAAAATTGAAACGTCAATGCGTTTAGGAGAATAAACTCTATCAAATGGTTCCAAATTTTCAATAATAAAAAATAATAAACAATATTTTTTACAAAATATAAAAATGTATTTGAAAAATTAATATTTGTAGTCCCCGTGATTCAAGAAATAGCAATAAAAAAAAAAAAAATGATTGCCTACCTTCTTTATCTCAGGAGATATGACGTTGGGTATATCTTAGTGAGATACTCCGTATTCTGTAAGTACATAGAAATAACTCTATACACAGGCTAATACGGCTGCGTTATAGGATATTCTAAACAACTTATGTTTAGATACCTAAAATCAACTTAAGTATTGTACATACTGTTTTATCATCGCACAAAAATGTTTGGTTCAAATAACCTAAAATCTACCGGTTATTTTTTTACTTTCAAACGGTTTTTTTTTTTGTTCAGAAACTTACGACAACTATGTGACGCGACGGTTGCCACCTTCGAAATATGTTTGTTTTAAAAATATTAAACTTTTCTTTGAAAAATTTTTCCAATTTCAAATATAACTTAGGTATTATAGTCGTGTGTGTATACATACGCAATAACTGTCAAAACTTTTTCGTGTTTTTTTTTTTGTTTTTAAAATTACCATAATAATATATATGATTGACAAAATTTAAAACGGAACATTTCATTCCTGGTATAACGCATGGATAGTATATTAATCATTATGTATATAGTTCCAGTGGCGTCATTTCGTTTAGGGGGGGGGGCATTTGCCCTTGCAATTTAACTTGAAGCCTCGTTTCAAACAGGCCATTTTGATCTATCTCTAGCTTTTGGTGCTGTAGAAGGAGGTGTCAAAATACTAGTACCTCTTGTTCGTATAATCCACATGAATAATACGGTGTGCTAGTGATTATTAAAAAGTAAAATTCCATCGGTGACTATTGGCTTGAGATAAGGAGGTTTAAATGGTTAATAAAGTTTAATAGTTAAATTCCACTAATAAAATATTATCACTTTTCCTTGTTAGACAGCAAATTTGGTAAATTTAGTTTATCTCGGCCCGCTAAATATTGCAAGAATGGCACTGGTAAATTTATATTAGGGCAGTTCAAAAGTTTGAACCTGAAAATTGTATAACCAGCACATTTAAATATTGTTAAGGTTGATGTTGAAAAATGATTCTGTATTAATTTTGACTTGAAAAATTAACCTAACCAATTTAGTGTTAAAATATGGCCAAATGGGGCAGTTTTTTTGAAATAAATATTTCATAAACTTAATCATTATTATTATAAAACTTGTAGAGAATGATGTATTTAACACAATATATACCATACAGAGAGTTCTGAACAACTTTCTGTAAAACCATTATTAGGTACTAATAAAAAACAGACTAAAAACTGTATTTTTATTTAACATATTTTGTTAAAATATTTCTTCTATAATCAGATAATTTATACATAAAAAAAAAAAAAAAATTATGCCTCTATAAGTTAGCATCGCCCTGACCTTACATGCTTTAATCTGGTATAGTAATCATTAATGCAATAAACGCGATGTAGAATTGTAAAACCCGCGCGCAGTATATTATTGTAATTTCCCGAGGAACAGGATGCGGTGATATTATTGACGAAAATAATATATATATATTTATATAAATCCCGGAATACATGTACGACGACGATGAAATCGAATTTCTTATTGAATTGTTTCCGCCATCGACCTCAGATACCGTATTATCGTATATTGAATATTATGGTTGCCATCTCCGGACTGATTGTATTTTTATTTGCTTTAAATTACGTCGTCGTCGACCGAAATTCGAGTGAAACTACTACGATGACGATAAGCGGACGGGCGGTGACGGAAAATGACAGTGAAAATAAAAAACCGTGGGCATTACCAGAAGGAGAATTATTTGCGGATTTGCAAGGTCGGCTGGCTGATGTCAACTTCGCCACCGGCTGTACCGGTGTTTACCGAAGTTTATTATTTTTATCGCAACGACGGTGGTAGCGATGGCACAGACGAAAGCCAGAAATCTCGGATTGTCTTGAAGTCTAGACATATACTCTTACTTCAAAATTATGATCATATAATATAAAATGTTATAATAAAACGATTTCGTACTGTTGAGTTATCAACGAATAAGGATAAATAATATTTTGGGCAAAAAATAAAAATTTAATATCAATTTTCACGTACAAATTTCATTTTAGTTCTAATTTATCTATAAATTATAAAACCATGATGTGTACCTATATAATATAACTAATCTTATTGTAGGTACCTATATTTTTATCTTTAAAAATGTTTTTGAAAATATTTTTGACGTTTTTACTTTTAGATTCTGAGTGGAGCGAAGAAGCTTATAGTTTTAAAAAGATGTTTATTTATTTATTTTTTATCTGGGCGCAACTATTTTACCAGCAATTTTGTTCCGACTTTTAATGACAGCAATGTTTCTATAAGGCAATTTTACTAGAGAGGTTATTTTTTGATTTTCCCAGTAAATATGAAAAACCAGGATAAAACATGGGAAAATCTGGAAAAACGCAGGGAAACTGGGAAAATCGGTATAACATTAAACATATATTGTTAAAGAATATATATAAAGTCCATTTAATTATTTGACCATAAAATGATATGTATATTGTTGACAAAGTATCACTACAAACTGAACTCTGTTCAGAATCTTTTTTTCGTTTTTTCTACGTTTATATTTAGGGAACTAACTTCCTATTAGTATGTATTATAAAACGACTATGCCCTCAACAAACTGATAATAAATGGATTGCGCTAGGAAAGAGAAAATATTTATCTAAGTTATGATGGGACATGAGATATGGATTTTACTCACTAGATAATACGATGGTGGTTTGAAATTACGGCGGATCGCCGGGAATGGAAAGAACGGTTCGTTTTTCGACAAGCCTATGGCTAAAACCAACTCGGTTATCTAACCTAACCTTCATAGCATAGGATCTGTAAATACGCTGTCAGTTGATGTCGAGCAGCGTGCAGTGCAGTATAACGGAATAATAATTTCGAGTGGCACATAAAGATTTGATTAATTTCGGGCGGTCTTCGCGCGCACAATGAGACGTATTGTTTGCCTGTGGTATTATTATTATTATTATAATTAAATTATATACCTAGGTACGTTCGCGTGTTCACTCGAGGGTTGAGCTGTCGTTGTCGTCGTCATCGCCGCGTCACGGTATTGGCCGTAACGAAAAGGCTAAAACTTACTCATTCGGCGGTTTTAAACGCGCCGCGCAAAACGGCCTAAAACAAACACACAATATATTATATATAATATACTCGTAACAACAACAACAACAACGACGACGACGCGCGACGGCGACGTGACGTAGTAGGTAAGTAGGTAGGTACCTAATAAAGACTATAATAATATTATGTTACGCCCGAAATCGCATTCTTTGCGTACAGTTTTCCAACGTACACTATATTGTTATGATTACGTTAAATTTTAAAAGTTTACGCGTGTCTCGTCGTATAAAATATAATTTAAGGTAGGACGGAAGCCGAAGAAGAAGACACGAGGGTATCAAAAAAAAAAAAAAAAAAAAAACTAATCGAATTTTTCCCTAATCGACCGTTATTTTTAAATTAATTTACAATGATAACAATAATAATAATAATTAAATAAACATAGTAAAAATAGGTGTAGTAGTTCTTAAGATTTTCACTGGCCTATAAATGGACAGAGAGGAGGGAGAGGTTGAAAATATTCAAACCTTCTAAAAACGAATCTTCGACGATTATGTTTATATATAAATGTTTAACAAAGTTGCTTATTTTCATAAGCCTGTTAGGGTATTTAAAACCTGGTATTTTCTATGAATATAAAATAGGAGCATAAAAATTGTAGGGGATGCGGTCGAAAATTGAAACTGCCATAGTGTACATCCTTAATACTTACATAATGTATATATAAAACTTCATTTCCTGACTTCATTTGGGGAATCTGTAGGTGCGTACAAAGCTAAAAAAAAAAACACTTCTCCCAACATGGTGATGTTTAAATCTAATTTAACCAACATTTTATCTCTTCAAGTCACTTATAAAAAAAACTCTGATTTCCGAGTTTAGTGCATTTGGTCCAGAAAAAGCTGCTAAAAGTGTTCAAGAATACTGGATATAAAAGAACAGACACAATGCAGTACAAAAGTCTCTCTTTTCTAAGTTCACGATCACTGTCACAAACCAACCTTAAACGTATTACTATAGTACTACCAGCGTGGATCTGAAATTGGGTCATTGAGGAATACTGTAGAAAACAAATTATAAGTGCTTGAAAGTATTGCGGCAGATTTTTGGACCAGTTTAAGATAAAATAATTGGCGTTTGAAAATGCAGAAAAAATAAAATGTTATAGATATTAAAGTTCCGAGAAAATAATTATTTAGAAACCATAAATAAAAGGAACACTGCTATGAGCTGATAAAACAGAATCCGATAGGAGAACAACGTTCGAGAATGCTGTGAATAAGTTCGAAAACGTAGTAAAATAGGATGTTAAGCTTGGTAGGGTAAATCGGAAAATTTTTACGGTAGTTATGGATAGCTGGAGGATGGGCTACGTCTTACAATTATGTTCCATAAATAAACCCAAATAATAATAACGATCAAATGATCAGGGGGATGTTATGAAAGGACATATGGAGTGTAGATAAAATAATTGTAATAAGAGTAACCGAAATGATTTTATCCCATGTGTGATAAAGGTAAATAACAATAAAAAGAGATTGATTGAATCGCTATTGATTATAATTATTTGTATGTGTAAAATATATGAAAATTTAATTTTTGTTTTTATTGATTAACAAAATGTGTTATACATTTTAGTATAAATTCTAAATCCAACGATATGATATTTTATTTTTGACAAGACCAGCTACTTTAATATTGCATACAAAGGTATACTTTGCTACTATATGATCCCATGTCAAAAAAAAATGTCAAGTTATCAATCAATGTTTAAAAAAAAAATTGAATCGTTTAGCCTTTATACAAACACGTTGCACGGTGCAGGTAAAATATGAGTTTGTTATATAGATAACTCACTATCATAATGTGTCTAAAACACAGGAGTATATTGAAAAATGTATTCTGATATTTTATAATATGTTACAATGTTTTCTTATTATTTTTTTTTTTTTTTAACAGCCTTCCTTATTATCTTAAGACTATGTAAATGACAAACTACTACTTCTATCACATTGGTAACGCTTATTTTTTCAATATATTATAAGTACCTCCACGAATTAATTATTTTCAATAAAAGCCATTTACAAACTTTGCGGCTTCTAAAAAATACCTCTAACTTATGTTATTGTGTTAAAATTGTTTAAAATATTCTCGAAATCTTCGTATAGATAATCGTTGCGGTTTGTGATATAGAAAAATATCACTATATATTGTGTGAATACTTCCCATAATATTATATTCTGTAACTGAAAACCCTTCGCAAGTATAGATGGGAATATCGGTGGGTGGGTACCTTTATATAAGCTCTGTTGAATATCGATTTTCAGAAGTTTCGAACCCCTTAAAGAAATACAATAATGGTACTATAATATTATAATAGTCATGTATATTATTGTATCTTTTTTTTCGCCCTCCTTGCCCGAATAGTAGGTATCTAATCGCTGACGTCTTGCGGACATGTCGATAAAAAAAAATAATAATAATAAAAAATTATCTACGCACAGACTATTATAATATCCGCTTCCAGTTCAGGTAGGAGTATTCAACCGCCGAGTAGGTACACAATGTTATTATCGTATTATAAAATATTAACACTTAACAGACGAACGAACGTTTTTCCGTTATCCAACAATAGGGTTTATTGATATTTTTCGTTACTTTTTGGAGATAGGTACTTTTTTTCAAAAGTCATATCTCATACCTATTCAAAGTCACGCGCGATATTGAAATCGTAAAAAACGAATGACTATAATATTAACGATTTTTTTTTTTTTTAGACTCTTAAGTATTGCGAAGAAGCTAATAATATTATTAGTTTTACTAAGGTATTGTTTTGTTTTGTTAGTAAAAACTAAAACTGCTGATGACATTTTTTTTTTGGTAGTACCATGTAGGAAACATTGTACTAGACTTCAGTTGTGCTAAAAAAAAGTGATACTTATCCTAGCTTTATTTTTGTGAATTTTTTGATATAGATAACCTCTTACTTATAAATTTTATTATGATAAATGTATATAAATAATTTTAAGTCTTCTAAATATTTATCTACAAAAATTGTTTCAGATTTTTTTTGATTTTTTTTTTTAGAAAATATTTTATAACTAGAATTATTGACATAGTTCAGATAGGCAATAATGGGATAGTAAAATTCTTAATACGTTTTAGTGGTTATAATTATGATTATTTCAGTTTAGTTTCTTGTTTATTCTTTAGTGACTTATCAATGGTGTTAATTGTACTTCAATAATTCTATTCAGTAATCAAGTTAAATTTACATATAATACCAAAAAGGGACAATGTTTAATGTAAACAAATTTGTTAGTCTAGGTTAAAGTTTATCTAATTTAATTGAGTTTAGAGAATACATAAATTTAACTAATCAGCCTTAACTCAGTGTTTTAACTTTTAACATATACGTATAAGAATAAAACTATCTCATTTTGTCTGGATATAAATAAATATCATTATTTAGATAAATTATTATTTTTTTATTTAATACTGACTAGACCAATTTACCTCGCTTCGCTCAGAGTTGGTTTTTGAATGCAAATATTGACGCTAGGTACTTAGATCATTGAATTATTCTTTACTATCGTTTTGTGTTTTATAGATAACTTACAATTATCTTTAACGTTTACCTTAGATAACTATTTAATCATTATCTTCATCTTTGATATAGATACAAATATTGGTTATTTTTCCCAACACTGAATGTGTTATTGTTTGAAATATATGTGTACCAATCTGTAATCGATTGAAAAATAAAATAAAATCTTTACAAA